AGTTACTTGAATAATTTATCGAAGCGTAATAAATAATGCGAAAATCGTAACAGCTACGAATAAACGTTGTTCGACGTGTTTTAACAAGTAATTGTTCAAAATAGGTATATTCGAAATTTTTAATTAATTACTTTTTGAACGACTCGATGAAGCTGGACTCTATGGAGCGACCAGCTTGATGTCACCAGCTGTTCTCGCCGCGCTCCTATGCGCGCGTCACGCTATACCACATAATCGGTTCCATTCCTTTCACCGTTGCGACTACGGCGTAGAACAGGTTGGAAGGCATAGACGCGCGAGACAAGGAATCGTTCTGGTTCGCGGAATAACCGCGAGTAAGTCGCATCGTCACGATCCAGATCCATTCGCGGATCATTACACCGGATGATCCGGTAGAATAGTCGTGGCATCCATCCATCTATCCCCGCGCTTTTCTTTCTTCTCTCTCTCTCTCTTTTTCTCTCCATGCGTTCATTCCCCTCCTTCGAATATTATATACGAACGTTATATACGATAAGATATTGGATGAAAGAAAAAAGAAAAAGGAAAAGGAAAATGATAAAAAATTCTTATTGATTCGATTTTCGAAAGCGGAGTACGGTTCACTTTCGATAAGAGCGTTATCACGGAACGCGAAAGCGCAACGACCCGTTACCCATTGTGTAAACCGAGCGTCGATCGAGAACGACCGACCGACCGACCGACCGACCGACTCGATCGCGGACGACTTTCACGCTTCTTCCAACAAACGGGCCGACACGATTATTTCTGGCCCCCACGATCGTTCCACTTTTGCCCTACGCCACCGCCCGTAAACCTCTTCGCTGGCGAAATACGTTTCGGAACTCGGTCGGTATTATTATTACCCTACCTTGTTTACCGATTCGCGCGAAACGGTTATACTCTACTTTATTCCACTTTCGACTCTACGGGTACTAGCCCGTACCGTGCGAAGGTGGCCTTTCCGTTTTTTTTTCGCTCAACTTTATCGGTTTTATTGCGATTCGTATCGTATATCGCGTTATCGTATAAATAACACAGAAATAATTATCTTATTCACTTTATTCATTCGATTAAATTGATGAATTGTCTTTTTGAATTTTTTTCATTTATCGGCTATTTTTTTTTTCTTTTCTTCTCTCTCTATCCCTCTTTTCTGTACGAATCAAGCATGTTTGAATTTAACAGCCATCATTGTCGCATTTATAACCGTGTCATAAATTCCTTCGTATTCATCGAGCGTTTGTGAAAAATCGATAAATCGGCAGGAATAGAATTTGGTATTAGTTTCGATTTCGACGCGAAGATTTGTCGATTATCGAATATCATCGAAACCCGAGGATTCACAGGTGTACACGGGAATATGAGATTATTAAAAAAAAAAAAAAAGAAAAGAAACTCTAATGTAACGGTTTTTTATTACGTTTTAATTGAAACGATAAAAGAGATAAAACAGATATGCGAAAGCCTCCGAGCGTGGAAATAACCAGTTTGCCGATAATCGTAATTAATCGAGTATAATTAATTGCTATTTGATATAACTTTTTTTTTTTCTTCTTTCTTTTTATAACAGTCATAAATATTAATGTATCGATTAGGAAATTTGAAAGAAAGAGTAAACGCGCTCATATATGAGCGTATATATAAAAGCGTATATATTCATTATAATGTTTATAGGATGAAATAAATTTCTATTCAATTTCTTTCGAAGAACATTGTGCGTCTTCCAATTTTTATCATTGTATTGTCGAAGAATAGAAGTTCTTTTTCTTCTTTTTTTTTTTTTTTCCCCACTGATACATACATATCACAGATCCATGAAATTGGGACGTATCGTATTGGGAATACCTTTGGACCGTGTTCTTTCAGAGGGGATATTCGCTCTCGCGAACAAAAACATTCGCTCGACCACTTTGCATTCTATTATCGTCGACCGAACTTTTATTCATAGCGCATATTCTTGGCCAACCTCGTCGATCCAACGATTTCATCCGGTAATCTCTTTAATAGTATCAAATCGTGACGTAAATCGTACGTACGACGAAACAAAAGGATCGTTATTATTATTATTATTATTATTTTTTTTCAATCTTTAAACTCTCTTTCAAATTTTATCTTCGAAACCATATATATACAAATTATACCAAAGAGAGATTTCCAATCGCAACGTTTTCGAACCTAGTTCGTAGCGGGAAGAATCAAAAGGAAGAAAAAGGAGAATCGAGAATCGAGACCAAGGTCGAGACCCACGAAATCGAGATATTCGCGCGTCGTCGAGCAAAACTTTCCCTTTCGAGTAAACGAACGCGATCGCGAATCGAATAGTAAAAATTACGATCTCTGGTCGATCGTGGACGAGGGAGGAAGAGAGAGAGAGAGAGAGAGAGAGAGAGAGAGAGAGAGAGAGAGAGATAAGAGTCACAGCGCACGCGCTTTTCACCGACGACGATTCATCCGTTATTTCGCGTAGAGGATCGGTGGTAACGCAGGTTGAATAAGTTCAAAGTATACCGTATATACGCGTGCTTGTAAAATGACTCATCGTCGCCTCGAGGATTGCACAAACGCAAAACACGGTACGCAGGTGTATCCTGTGGTGCATCTACCTCGTCAAACAGATCTCCATTGTTTCTTCGACGATCCCAAAACAGTTCGTTTCAAGATCCTCGCTCAATCGAACGTCTACCTTTTCTTCTTTTTCTCCTTCTTCTCCTTCTCTCTCTCTCTCTCTCTCTCTCTCTCTCTCTTCGTCGCGATATTAACGCTTGGTCGATTTTTCGCTATATAACTTAAAAATAGGAAGAATGAAAAAAAAAGGAAGGATACGAGCAAGGAACAGTAAGCACATATTTATTACGACGAAATAGAGGCGAGCATCTAAGATGGTGGGCAAGAAGCCGAGAAAGAAAGTAACTTTCAGATTCGAAAAGAGAAACTACTTTTTGAACGCGGTTCAACGCGGATCTAACATCGGTGAGGCGATTCGCTAGTACGCAAATAGACTTCCAAGAAGCGAGTCTCGTCGCGAGAACGACGTGTAGAAGGTCGCAATATTTCTTAAAAAAAAAAAAAAAAAAAAAAAATCGGTTCTACGTGCACAAGTAACACGATTTTATCAAAAGTGTATCACCGATACGTTTACGTCGTCCTTATTTCGAAGTCGAAGCGTCGCAACGTGGAAATTATAATCGTGCCACGAATGTTGTTTACGTGTATACACGTGAAACAAAAGGAATCGTAAATTTTTCTTTCTCGCAAATACCCATTAATGGGATATAAAAAAATACTACTGTTCGAATCTTAAATCGCTACGTAAACAAGTACGCGAGATAATCGGTTTTACGTTCCCACGTCACGCAAGTAAAACGCNTTTTTTTTTTTTTTTTTTTTTTTTTTCTCCTCTCCTCCATAGATAAAATAGAGAATAGGCGAAGGCGAGCGAATATACGTATATATATACGCGATACTTTGAAGAGAGGGGCGATAATAAAAGTTGGGCCAGGTCAAGATCCACTTTGTCGAGACGGAAGAGGCGACCGATCCTCCTTTCTCCCGTTTCCGCCTACGCGGTGATGACACGACGAGAAGACGATTTTGCACGGTTGAAAAAGTGTCGACTAAATATGGCCCGACTTAGTCGTCCGTCACTCGGGCCAACTCTGGCCTACGCGTATTAAGTATTATTCCGATTTATTTATTTGCCAGATACGTAGTCTTTTTACCAATTTATCTCTTCTATTTTAAATGCCATCGATAAATATTACGCGATTCCTAGATCGAAAAAACTGGGGAAGAAACACGGTGTGTGCGTGTGTGCATCGTTTCTTAAAATCTATAGAACGAGGATCGCGGGATTTCTTCTAAACGCGTTCGTATCATTCGACGAGTTCGACGAACGGAAGAAAGTTCGGTACGAGAAAAGTGGAGTGGATCGTTTTTGATCGAACGAGAGTGGAGCGGATATAATCTGACGGGGGAAAGGGAAGGACGCGTTTCTAGATTAAATCGAAAAAGGGCAGGTGGAGTAATCCGATGACCTTGACGAAAATAACTTCCAAGGTCGGATATCCAAGCGCGAGAGAAAAACATGATTACGCGCGCTTCCGTTTACGTGACCGTTTTGTTCACGTTGCCGTGGATCCTCCGAATTTTCGGAAACCTCGGGATCAGGAGCAAATTCTTCGCCGATCTGATCAAAACTGGCAGGTAAGATATTTTTCGGACGGCGTTAGAAATTCGTTTCTATATCTCGATTCGAACGGGGAAGGGAGAGAGAAGAAGGAGAAAAAAAGGCTATATATTTTGTATTTAAGAACGCGCGTAATTGGAACGAAACTGTGTAAAACACGATGGTGGTGGTATAACTGCGTCGTTCGAGCACGCTTCTAACAATAAGTAAGAGGTTTCGCGCGGCCCCCACCACATTCCCTCTCTCTATCTCTCTCTTTCTCCGTTCGCTTTTGTTATTTTTATTCTCGAGGGATCATTGGTTCGTTCCTCGGTCGTTTCACCGGTGGCGTGGACACGATTCGTGTGCCGTTCTTCCGATATTCTTTGTCCCTTGTCATCCACTTTCTCTTTCTTTTTCGCGCCGGCTGGCTGGCCGACTAGCTGGCTGGCAGCTAGCCAACGGACAAATTCGACGCTTCTTCCGGGAGGAGAGGGGAGGGAAGAGAGAACTATTATCCATCCCGCCTCACCACGTGGAATCACTGAATCAAAATTATCTTCTATCGCTCTGCTTTCTTCTTAACCGTGAAACTTTTATTTCGGAACTAAAATTTCAAACGAATCTTCCTTTTCCTCTCGAGAACTCGAATCGAAAACAAATATTGGAAATATTCGAAGAAGCGGTTAACAGGTTAAGATCGATCGATCGAATCGTCATTGCTTGCCTCATCGACCGTTCCATTTAGAAGCAGCCGATGACGCGACTCATTATAATTACGATGCTACGCCTCGAGCCTCAGTCTCTCTCGCGCTCTTCTCCTCGCCCGTTGCGCAAAATCGTTGGAACATCGATTCGGTTGATTCGTGTCCTCGAGCGCCGATTCGCCCTTCCTTTCTCCACGATAATTCGTACGCGACATGTGAAAAGATATCGAGTCGTCAATAAAATTGGAAAATTGGATATTTATCCGTCGAAAAGAAATCGCGTATTTTCCACTTCTTTCCACGAATAAAAGAAATTTTTTTCACTTCATCGTTTGTAAATGATTTGTTGGTTCGTTGGATCGTAATTTCTTTCTTTCTTTTTTTCTTCCTTTTTTCTTTTTGTCGTTTTAAGGGAGCATATCTTCGCATCGTTATCACGCAAAACTTAATTATTTAAAACGTTATTTTCATCTCGTCACAAACGCGACGACAATATTAATGTACGAATATACTTTCTTTAATTACATTCACCGTTGAATTTACAATACGTAGAATCATAAACGAGCATTCGTATATGTATATATATATATACACCTTGCATATAGAAAACAGGAAACAGAAATTGCATAACCTTGTAATTCAATTTCTTAAATAATCGTAAAAAAAATTACGAAATATGTTTAAGAACGTTAAAACGAAGTATCGAAACGTAAATTATTCGTTTTTTTTTAGTATTCGTAACGTATATTTTCGTTTATCCCTGTTACAAGAGGAGGGGGAAATTAGGTTCGAAATCATTGGGTAATTGGCATCGGTGGATGGTGAACCAGGACACGATCGAGGGAATCGGTACTCGGTTAAATGTGAACGCGTTACGTAAAATGTTTAATTATAAATACGGTCGGCGGTGAGATGATCGTTGCCCGTTACGCAAAAGGCACTATACACTGTTGACATTGTCGTTCCCTCGCCTCGATTCGCGGCCTTAAAAACCCGGAAACGGATTTATCTAATCACCGCGAACGAGGTAGAAGTTGGAAAGGACTATTCTACACCGGAGAGCGTTGGTATCTTATCTCTTAAATAAACTCTTAAATAAATAAATTTTTCACCGTGTGTACGACTCCCATTTTTTATATTCGAGGGATTTAAGAATCGAAAATATCGCCATTTCGGCTCGTTTCTTTCCGAGGCAATTGGCGCAATAGAGATCAGCCTACCTTTCATTTTAACTTTGGGCCTTCGATTAAGGATAATTTAGGTTCCCTTCGAAAATCAGAAAATTTAAAGGAGAAAAAAGAAATATACGCGATAAAATCGATACATCCGTTTCCACGGATCCACTGGAATCTCGGCAATTGTAGCTATGCTTACGAAACGTTTCGATACTAAGATTTAAGGCTGTGTTCGAGTTATGTACGAGTAAAAAAACATTTATACGCATTTCACTCGAAAGTATTATTCGAAACGCGTACGGAACACGAGATATTCGATCGAGATCGAATACTCGATTTTTCTGAATCGATTATTGAGAGAAAGAGAGAGAGAGAGAAATCGGTGGATTTTCAGCGGGAGATTTTAATTCGATCTCAAATATGGCCAGAGCCTGCTCGAGATATTTGCGACGAACGTGACGGAATTGCTCTTACGACCAAAGCGAATCACGATCGATTGGCTTTCGATCGCTCGAAGCGGTTGTTCTCGAAAAGTTACTTCATCGTTACCTAAGAACTTTATACCATCGAATAACGGATCACGATGTTACGTCACGATGTTCCTCTTAAATTTCTCGTAAATATCTCTGCCTCGTGAATTTTTTTTTTTTTCTTTTTGCTCAGGACGATTACATCGCGACACAATTTTAAAAAAAAAGATAAGAATCGCCTTCCTTTTACTTTTATTTATCGCGTAGAAAAAAAAACATAGAAACGATTAGGGCGTAATAAAACAAGGAAGAAGAAGAAGAAGAAGAAGAAGAAGAAGGAAGAAGCGAACGAATCCACGGTCGATCGGTTAATGATCTTTATATAGCGTGGAGAAAGAACAGCAGTCTCGGGTATTTTATCGTTAAAGTTCCCCCTGATGGGGATCTAAAGAGAATCGTCGATACGTTGTTACACAGGGTTGCATTCCACGGCAATTCTCCACCGATCGTTTTCTCCTTGCCTTTTTTTTTTTTTACGCGGCCAGTGTGAGAAACGCGTAAACTAGGAGCGAACGCACGGAACGAAAGGTAAATCGTTCTGGTTCGCCTCGGTTTTTACCGTAAAAGATCGATTCGCGTTCCAAGGATTTTTTTTTTTTTTTCTTTTTTCTTTTCTCTTTTTTCTCTCCACGATAAACGTTTATATGGCCACGGCGGATTCGCCCGATAGCTGTATCGAAATTCGTTCTCTCGAACCATAGATTCGAATCGTAGGTTCAAAGTGGAAATTTTTCTTCCTTCCAACTTCCTGTTCGAAAGCGACAGAATTTTTTTTCCAAATTTTCCAAAAGTTCAAGCGAGAAAATTTCCACGATATTTTTTTCTAGTCCTCGAACAATTGATTGTGTATGAATTTTGTATCCAAGAATTAAATCGATATAATTTATTAAATCGTAGAATATTATTTGTGTCATTAGTTTTAGAAATTTTAGTTTCTATAAATAATTTCTTTTGGAATTAATTTATTTTTTTTTTTTTAATTTTCTAGATCAATATTATTAAGGGATTTTTTTGGAATTTAATTTTTCGGAATTAATTATCGAAATTATATTAAATCTCTAAATTTTTAATTTATCCTCTACGTTTAATATTTTTCGTAAGAATATTAATTGAATCGAATTCCATTCGATTTAATCGAACGTGAATCTTTATAAGATTAATTTTGATTAATTTAAATTTTGATATTCATTTTAATTCATTCATTTTATATTTATTTTTTTATATATAATTATTCGAGTCTGTGGAATTTTACCTCGGATCTCGTTACGATGAACCACTATCTACTTATTTAATAATAATTTCCGTTCCATCGGTTTCCAACTTATTTTTTATTTTTATTTTTTTTTTTTCCACGAGCATTAAACCGAGGAATAACTTCGGTCCAATTTGTTTCCGTTAAAACCACCGCGAACGAGGTTTTATTTCCTGTTGACCGTGGAAACGGAAGCGGTTTATTTATTCCTAGATAAAAAATCCTTTAACCAAATCCTTCGAATATTTTCGATGTAACGTTGTATCATATAAACATCGATCCATCCATCATTTCTTTTCTTTCTTTCGAAAAAAAAAACTCCTCGTAAAAATAAACGTAAACACGCGCAACGATATATTTATTTACTCGCAATGGGGAACACGTGCTAGAATGGAATCTTGAAACGTGGTACGAAAATTGTGTGCAGGTCGGCCTTGCAGACGTTGCACAAAGTGTCGAGCAAGGCGCGCGAGCAAAACTACTTCCTAGGTGGGCTGTCGCACGACTGGGTCAGTTACTATGAGCAACGAATCGAGAGCGATCGCTCGTGTCTCAACGAGTGGCATGCTATGGACAACTTGGAATCTCGAAGACCACCGTCGCCGGACAGCGTACGCACCAAGTAAGCCCTTACATCTGCGATGCCCGAAATTTAACACTTTTCGAGTAGACGAATAAACTTATTTTCACAATTTATCGCTCGAAACTTATTTAATTATAATAATCGGAAATAATGTCGAGATCATTATAAAACGAAAAACGGATCGACTATAATAGCTACGAAGAAATTATTTATTTAAACATTTCAATAAGTAATTTTATATATATAATAACTTAAATAGTTATATATATAATAACTTAAACTAACCTTATATATATATATATATTTTACTAATTTTATTTTCTGGTTTTTATTCCCTTTCTTTTATATATATATATGACAAAAAAGATAAGAGTCTTGCGGTTAAGCGACACGTGTCCACTTTTTTTCTCTTCTCTCTCGCTATTCGTAAACACGTTCGATAGACATCGGGAAGATAGGCCCGGCGAGCGGAAACGGAGAACAGCTGGATTTCGATGGGAATTTAACTTGGTCGTTTGCCAAACACGGCGATTCGTCCACACGCTTATACACTTGCAAATAGAATAAACAAGGATAGAATAGTTTCGGACAGCGCGTCCAAATTATTCTCCAAATTAATCGTTACACGTCGTTTGTTGCACGGCAGACCCAGAGAAAGGGACGAGACCGAGCGGGTGATCCGTTCGACGTTGAAGGAGATCATGATGTCCGTGGATCTCGACGAGGTCACTTCCAAGTACATTCGAGGTCGCCTCGAAGAGGACCTCGACATGGATCTCGGGGAGTTTAAACCGTTCATCGATCAGGAGATGCTCACCATTCTGGGCCAGATGGACGCCCCGACCGAGATATTCGACCACGTTTACCTAGGGAGCGAGTGGAACGCGAGCAACTTGGAGGAGCTCCAGAAGAACGGGTAAGTTCTTCGTTCCCTCCCCCCCTTCCCCCTCCCGTTTTACCCATTTTATTATTATTATTATAATATCGAAAAGAAAGAAAAGAAAAGAAAACTGGTGGATGGATTGTTCCCTCCAGGGTGAGGCACATATTGAACGTGACACGGGAGATCGACAATTTTTTCCCCGGGATGTTCACGTATTTGAACGTACGCGTGTACGACGACGAGAAGACGGATCTTCTGAAGCACTGGGACGACACGTTCAAATACATCACGAAGGCGAAGAAGGAGGGGTCGAAGGTGTTGGTCCATTGCAAGATGGGGGTGTCAAGGTCGGCCTCAGTCGTGATCGCGTACGCGATGAAAGCGTACAATTGGGATTTTTCCCAGGCGTGGAAACACGTGAAGGAGAAGCGGAACTGCATCAAACCGAACAACAGTTTTCTCCTTCAATTGGAGACGTATCAGGGTATATTGGACGCGATGAAGAACAAGGAGAAGCTTCAGAGATCCAAGTCGGACACGAACTTGAAATCGCCCACGTCGCCCAAGGACGGTGGATCCTTGAAGAAGGAGGAGAAGTCCGGGAATACGGACGACGACGACGACGACGGGTTACGGGGAGCCGAATTCTCGGGTTCCGAGTTGAAGAAGACCGGGCAAAGGCCGAAGAGTTGGTCGCCGAACGTGAAAATTTCCGAGACCATGCTGCCCTCTGGTGCGTTGTCCTGTTGTTACATTTAATAATCCGTACGATCTGCGATGGTATACATTTATATACGTATCTCTCTTCTTTCTTCGCAGTGCCTCTCTCGCAGTCCCTGGAGAGCATCGACAAGGCGGGAGGAGGGAGCGCGGAGGTGACCAGGGAGGACCTTCTTCGGTCGAGAGTGGTGGGAGGTGGCCGGAAAGGCGGCGCGGGGGGGTCGCAGGAAGGGAGGAACGTTTTGATGCCGTGCGACAACGGGCAATCGTACAGCGTGTCGCAGAACAAGATCGTCCACCTGCCAGGGCCCCTCCCTCCACCCCCACTCCCGGCCCCGGACAGGGGCGTGGGGGGAGCGAGCAAGAACGTGAAGAATCGGGTGAACGAGCTCGAGTCGGAGACGCAGCAACGAAGCGGGCAGAGAAGGAAAGGACTCGTGTTGAATTTAACCAATCAATTCGAGGCGGTGAGCAGCAAACCATCCTCGCCGAGTTCGGATCCGGAGGAGCCCACTCGGAAAGCGCCTCACGCGTCCCCGCTTACCGCTCTCTCCGTGAACGAGAACGGGTTCGTCGTCCAACAAAATCAATCCTGTTTATCTGCGTCCTCGTCTTCGTCTTCGTCGTCGTCGTCGTCATCATCGTCGGAAAAGCAAAACCTGTGGGATCATTCTCGAGACTCGAGAAGGAAAACGGACGAGAATCGAGGCGAGTGTCTAGTCTGGACCGACGCGTGCGGTAGTGGTAGTGGTGGTAGTGGTGGTGGTAGTTGTGGTGGTGGTGGTAGTGGTGGTGGTAGTGACGATGGTAGTGGTGGTGGCGATGGTGGTGACGTTAAGACGAACGGAGAAGCGAGCGAATGTATCGCGACGACGACAACGAGCATCGCTACGACAACGATAACGACGACGACGACGACTATAAGCGCGACGTTGCCGCGAAGAAGCAAGAGAGAAGGAGGGGATCCGTTCAGCGCGCACGTGGATCGAGTGTTCGAGCGGGAGGAGAGACAAGGGGAGCAAGCGAGCGGTGTAACGGCGACGACGACGAGGGACTCGCCGAGCAGACAGAGCTCTTGGAGCAGTTACGACAGTGCCGTGGTCCTCGAAAACAACAACTCGGTGCACAGTTCCTGGGCCACGTTACCTTCGAGAAACAGCTCGTGGGGCTCGTACGACATGCGGCCATCCGACCTCCTCGGTTCCAGCGGCCTCTTCCCGTACGACAAGGAAGATATACCTTGGCATCCGGGTACCGTGAAACGTACGAAGCAGAAGCTCGAGGAGGGTAACGCGTCGTCGAACAGCGTGAAACGCGTGTGCACGCAAAATTCGGACGGGGCCGAGGAGGAATCGTACAATCCTCCTGTACTTTTGCATCACGCGGCGTCCCCGACGCCGCCCCGTAGAAGGGATTCCTCGCCCGGCGGCGGCGGCCATAACAACAATAATCGCAACTCGAAGATGGTGGATCCGTTGGTCGTAGTTAGAAATTGTCCCAGCCCCGCGAGGGGGATCGATATCTCGCCCTCGTCCTCCTCCTCCTCCTCCTCCTCGATGATCCGTCATGTTGGAAGATTGTCGACCAGCGCCCCGGCACCCTCCTCCCTCTCCTCGGACTCGGATTTACCCTCGTCATTGAGATCGTGCAGGTCGGAGAGCGAAACGTCGTCGAGTCCTTGCGTGGTCAACACCACTCAATGCCCTTCCGTCAAGCATCACAAAATGGTTCTCGAGAATCTAAACAACACCAACAACAATAACACCAACCAAAAGTTGATGTTCAACAAACAACGTTGCCTGTCCGTCGACGACTCACCCGGCGAGACAGAGTGCTCGCGAACCAATCCTACCAACGTTGCGGCCATCGCCGTCACAACCGCCGTCACTACCGCGGCGACCACTATCTCCGGCCTCGTGAAGAATCTGAAGAAGGAGTTCGAGGCGAAGTCGAGCAAATTGGAGAAGAGTCCGGAAAGCGGCAACAGTTTCGAGAACGATTCCTCCCCGATCGTATCGTATCCATCGTCCTCGTCCTCGTCGTCATCGATGATCGTGATCGGTGGTAGCGGTTGCGGTAGTGGTAGTGGTAGTGGTGGTGGTGGTAGTAGTGGTGGTCGAGGCACGAAAAGAGACGCGAAGATTCGAAGCTTGCCCTCGTCACCTGTTATTCCGCACGACGAATCCAAGATTCAGGCCTCGTCCGAAACCAAAGAGAAGAAGGGAGGAGGAGGAGGAGGGGGGAAGGAGAGCGCGAATACACAGCAGGAAAATTCGGAAGACCGGTCGGTAAGGGTTCTGGTCGGTAAATACGAGGTCGGTAAACCAGATTTGAGAAAATCGACCGAGATCCAATTGCGGGTGCACAGAGACAAGGATTGGGAGTCGATCGATTCGCAGCAACAGCAACAGCAACAACGACACGGCAAGTCGTCGAGAATTACGGCCGAGTATAGCAGAAGATCGGCACCGATCCTGATCAATAATCATTCGTCCTCGTCCTCATCCTCCTCGTCGTCTCCGTTGTTCGGTGAAACGGCGCCGGAAGCACCAGGCAGGCCACCAGTCCCATCTGCGGGAACCGGGTCCACGGGTAATAAGAAACAACAACAACATGGCAGGACGCATCCTCTCGCCAGGCTGCAGGTCAGGCCTAGGCACAGCAGTCCGGTTTATAACACGATGTAAAAAAGAAAAAAGAAAGTAAAACGAAGAGAGAAGAAGAAGAAGAAGAAGAACAAGACGAAGAAGAAGAACAAGAAGAAACGTTTATCGATTTGGTTCTCTTTCTCTCTCCTCTCTCTCTTTAACATTCTCTCTCTTTTTCTCCCCCCCCCCCCTCCTTTTCCTCTCTCGAATTTGAGCGCGCGTACCTGAATACACGGGTATGTTGTCGTGACCACAATGTGAAAACCGCGTGATCTCTGTACGATGCCAACGAGACGAGAATCATCCTGTTCGAGCTCGACGACGAATCGACGGGGACTCGGATATTTGTATAGATTTGTTTCCCACCATCTTCGATGTGTACAATTTTACCCTATTCGGCGAGAATGTAATCTATTTCTGAGCGACGATACGACAGAGCACCCGTATTTTTTCGATGCATATTTCTTCGAACGGGTAGGGTGTTGAAACGACGACGACGATGACGATGACGACGGTGATGATGATGATGATGATGATGATGGTGATGATGATGGTGATGATGATGATGATGATGATAGTGATGATGATGATGATGATGATGGTGATGATGATGACGATGATGATGATGATGATGATGATGATGATGATGAACTTTTCTTCGCGCGTTGGAAAATCGTGTTTTATCCCGCGAGTATCGTTGCTACGTAATTTCGTTCCGATTTTTATATCCGCGATAATCGAATCGAAAATTCCTTCGTGTTCAAAAGCGATAAAAAAAAAAAAATATTCGAAATGAGCGATCGATGAGCGGAAAAATAGTGAATAAATGGGTAAATAGTTTGTTGTGAACGAGATGATTAGTCTTCTATCGAAAATTCGAAAAGATACAAGTGCCTTGTCCTACCGTCGACGATTGTATATGATCGTATATAGATATATTTGTAATAAGGCACGTTCAAGGTCCTTTTAACGTTTTTATGTTCCTTCTCACACGTCAGACGCGTGGTCTTTGGCCTGCTCTTCGTTATTTTTTAAGCTGGAAATGCAACAATTCTATAGGAAGATACGAAAGAAGAAGAAGAAGAAAAAGAAAACGCTATTATTCCTACGACGTGTCGTCATCCGTAGATCTAATAATGGGCTTGGAATCAAACGTGATGTTTGCGGGGGTTGGGTCGCGCAAAAGTTGGAGCCCGGCGGTGAGCTCGGTCAGGCTGTGAACGAAAGGTCCGGGCCTCCCGCTATCTCGCTCAAATACTGGCTCTCCGGCTCCTCCTTTTGTCATTCGCGTTGTGATCACCGAGGCGTATGCGAAACACAGAGATTCTATATGATAATAATAATAATATAAACAAACACTTCGGAACGACGACGTGTAACGTTAACCTGTACTATTTAGCGTATTTTAGAGCGAACAATGTGATTAGGAATGGTGCACAGTATGCGAGGAGACGAAAGTAACGAAAAACCCTCTCTCTCTCTCTCTCTCTCTCTATTATTATTTTTTATTATTACTATTATTATTATTATTACTATTATTATTATTACTATTATTATTATTGTTATTACTATTATTTTTATTATTATTATTTTTTTTATTATTTTTTTTATTATTACTGTTATTACTATTATTATTATTACTACTATTACTACTAGTATTACTACTACTACTATTACTACTATTACTATTACTATTACTACTATTACTATTTCTATTACTACTACTATTACTATTTCTACTACTACTGCTACTAGTACTACTGCTGCTACTACTACTACTATTACTACTACTACTACTACTGCTACTACTATTATTATTACTATTACAATACTATTACTACTACTACTACTACTACTACTACTACTGTTACTACTACTACTACTACTGTTACTACTACTACTACTACTACTACTACTATTACTACTACTACTACTACTACTACTACTACTACTACTACTACTACTACTACTATTATTATTATTATTATTATTATTATTATTATTATTATTATTATTATTATTATTACTATTATTATTATTACTATTATTACTATTATTATTATTATTACTAGTATTATTATTATTATTATTACTAGTATTATTATTATTACTATTACTATTATTATTATTACTATTACTATTATTATTTTTTATTTTTAGTATTATTATTTTTATTATTATTATTCCCTGTTCGAAAGAGTCGTTTCGAATCGTTCGAACGATTCGATCGGTTCTGGCTATCGTTCGATCAATCGTTATCGATTATATTCAACTATCTTTCTACTCTGTATATCGTGTGTAAAGCATAGTCGCGCGACCCGAATTTCTTTCTCATATCGTATCTCGTTTTTCGTTGTTCGATTCGATCGTATCTCGTGTTCTCGTGTCTTTAGAATCGTATTTTGTCCTTTCCTTCGACCAGTGACGATAATCGCCTATCGAATGTTTTACCGTTAATCGCTAGCTCGAAAAGTACAATGAGGAACACGGCTCGATATCAACGTTCGTCATTCTTAGACATATCATCGAACCGTTCATTTTCTTATTTGTATTCGCAAAGCCATGTCGACCAATTTTATACTATAATCCCGATATTGATCATAATGATGATGATGATGGTGATGATGATGATGATGATGATGATGGTGATGGTGATGATGATGATGAATGCGAGGCTCGTTTTTTGATAAGATGCACCGCGACGACTGTGTGTGTAGAAATATATTTTATTACCGAGATAATTTTGCAAATAATTTCTCGATACGTTCGTTCTAACCGCTGTTTGTTGTCTCTCGGCGTAACATCCGAGGCGTGAAACGATCCGGATGTTATCGAAAAACTGTAACAAACACACTTGAATTAGAATAAAAAAAAAAAAAAAAAAAAAAAAAAAAAAAAAAAAAAAAAAGAAAGAAAGAAACGTTACATCGCCAATGCTGCGCTTCACATATCGACTCGATGCTCGAGTACGATGACGTTTCTCTTTTCTCGTTTCTCTCTCCTTCGAAACGATAATAATATTCCATTCGAGTTGAATTATTTAAAAAAAAAGAATAAAATGGCGAGAAACGACCAGAGTGCTTACGTAAACGTAACAAACGTTTCTCACACGCTCTTAAGAATAACCCATCTCCGCTATCGAGAAATCAATATTCTCGATGATAAAACTTAAAAATTTCTTTGCAACCCATTTGCCTTCGATCTGAACATCCGAACGACGGATGGGAATAGAAATAAAAACGGAGACTCGATTTGATCCGAGAAAAAAGTGTTTTTAATCATTGGTTAGAATTAGATCAACCCGGCTGAGCGTCGATCTCGTATATCCTTTTGCCAGCGCAGAACGCGAGCTGCGATACAATGCTGATGGACCGAATTTTCTTCGCGTGTTTCGGATTCACCGGACCAATGTCCAAACTGTACGTTCCACCTCGTAAATTCCTGATCATCGCCAACGTCTGCCGAAGAGACAATCGTCGTCATCATCGCGCGTGTAACAACACAACCCCACCTCCCCCCTCGCGTATATAAATATATACACGTATATGTATATATGTATAAAATCGCGAGCAAACGAGAAATTTATGCGTGTATATGTATACTCACGGCGTGGGATCGCAAGTCGACCACCCTGAAGAGATTGATATCCGTGCCGCCGCAAGCGATGAACATGCTCGACACGTATTTGCCGCAATAGAGAAGGGAGGAATAACTGTCGGGCATCAAGGAAACGAGCAGCTTTCCGCTACCGTAATCCCACAATTGGATGGAATTCTCCCTTTGCCACGAGCACGATAAGATCTGTTCGCAGTAGCTTGTTTGTTAATAAAAAAAAAATAGAAAAGATACGGAGAAAAAATACCGCAATATCCGATTCCTGAATTGGATCGTTATATCGGCGATATTCTTTTGACAGGTTCTTTTTTTTTTTTTGTCTTTTTTTCTTTTTTTCTCTCTTACGTTCGATCGTTTCTTTTGCGTCGTTTTTTACGCGTCTCGATTCCGATCCGTTTTTCCCCTATATTCATCTCGCGTGATTTTTCGAGATTTTTGCGTGTGATTCGTTAAAATTGAAACGTTTTGTTGTGTGCTTGGATCAATTTGGGGAAAAAATTTGGAAAATTTAATTTTCGGGATATATATATATATAATTATAAAATTAAATATATTATAATTATATAATAAAATTATATATAATTATAAAAATATAAATATATATATATATATATATATATATATATAAATCGAAAGGAGATATTTGAATTTTTAAAACGGTCGGTTATTCTTTGTTTCGTTCGATAACAGTGGTGTGGATTTAAAATTAGTCGACCTAAAAATGACCGTCGCGGCGACGTGATCGACGACGTTCGTGTTTTTAAGAATCGCACGCTTCCGACACATTTGTTTTGAACTGAGAAAGATCGAAGGAGAAAGACTATAGCTGCTTTTTAAATTCGATAAACACTGCCAAACCGCTATTGCACTTTTTCGTTTTATACATTTTATAGGTATATATATATATGTATATATATATGTATATATACGAGTATGGATTTTTGTTCGGATAAACCAATTTTTTTGATGGACAATTCGAAAAAACGGATTATTCGGGGGGGAAAAAAAGAAAAAAAAAATGTAAGATTACGAAATATATTTATTCGTGTATATTTAACTATTATTATTATATGGTGACGAAAAAAAGTTGATTTATATGCAACGAAAATTCAGTGTTGTTGTTTGAAGAAAAATGTGTAATGTTTATATAAATTTTCAAAGAATACATACTGCCATTTTTCAACGTCTTTTTATTCTCATTTGAAAAAAGAGCTATAGAATCATTCTTCTGGTTAATCGCACGTAATTATTTTGTAAAATTTTTCTCTCCTCTTGTCTTGTATCCCTTTCTCATATTTTTTTTTCTTTTTTTTTAATCAATTAGTTAATATTATACGATAACAAAAAAAAAAAAAGAAAAAAGAAAGGAACAATTAGAATTTTTTTCTTTTTTTTTTTTTTTATTACGTTATTAAAAAGAAATATCGTTTAAATTTATCGTTTCGATACGATTTATTTATTTGCGTAACGTGTTTTTAATTTTCACGATTGGATATTTCGAGATTCTTCTGTGATAATATCTGTTCGTTGGTCTATAATTTAAAGAAGACTAATAACAAGATAATCGATCGTTTGTTCATTCACCAAAGATGAAATATCGAGACAGTAAAAATGAAAAAGAAGGTCGATAAAAATCTATTTATAACAAAGGAGATTAATTTCCGATTTATCGATCGAATCAAACTGACCCACCGTTTACTCGCATGAGAATCGACGGTCGGTAAAAGAATATTTCGCCAAATCGATCTGCGACTTATCGGGAAGAAGAAAAAGAAAAAAAAAAATTGCCCCGAACGAAAGACAGGTTAAAATGCAAGAATACAGAGAGAGAGAGTTGGAATACCTCTTTTCCATTCTTGCTTATGTCGAGTCCATCACCGCACATATGCACGCCCGATATACGTCTGAGCGCGTACGGTTGCCTCGAATCCCAAAATTGAATAGTATTGTCCCAACCGCCGCTGATCAACTCGTGTGCCGATTTTGGTCTGAAACACGCGCTGAACACTCTGGATTTATGACCGTCCATAACTTCCAACGACTCGCTATGATAAATAACAACAATAATAATAATAATAATAATAACAAAGATAAATTAAATTCAATATCTCGCTCATTGTATCATGAGCTTATTATCTCTCAAATTGCTCGAACGAATGGTTTGTCCGATAATCGATCATTGATTGGCTTGAAATGGGAGAGAGAGAAAGTTAGCGAAATTATTATTCGTAATAATTAAAAAATAAATGTGAACGAGCGTTACAGCAAATACAGTATATATAATACTGCTTAAATCGTCGTTCCTTTCGTTCTGTGCGCGTGTTATGCCTACGTGCCTTCGTCACGAACTTTACTCGTTTTGAAATGCGCGCCACATCCGTTTGATCGAAACAACCCATTACTTCGTCTTATATCGTGGAAAGTGGATACTATAATAATATCATAATCTTTAAACGTAAGCTTCGATTATTCGGAAGAAGAAAGAAAATAATAAAAATTTTTCGTTATCTTGGATAATGATAATAATTTACAAAAATAAATACCGATCGAGCAAAGTTATTTCGATTTTTTATATTTGCATGATAAATTATACGATAATTGCGAATTGTCTGTGATATATATAACATGTGTTTTTTATAATAAGGAAGGAAAGTTGGATCGTTGGAAGTTGTGGATGTTCCCTTCGGGAGGGGAATCGGATTTTTGAATCTGGACGAGAAAAATATTTGTAAGTAAAGCGATTATTTATTCGGTTTAATCGGTTCGATCTGGTTTCGTCGAATTGGATTACTGTCGCGTTTAACTTAAGATCAAGGTCTTGATGATCGAACGAATATGAAACGCGTGAAACGATAAATATTTCTCATCGTAATTTCAATCGTAACACGTTTACAAATCGCACAAAGTATTCCTCTCCTCCGTCAACGACCGTTACTTCAATCGTAAGCGCGAGAGAGATAACAAATGTGTTTGTAAACACGACAGACCTTGCGTGAAACACTCTTTCTTGCATTTTCGTTTCTTCGTCGTACATGATGAGCTTCGCATCGTCGCCCATGGTTACGAATTTTGGTAGATATGAGTGATAAGCCAAGCCTAGAACCTGCCTGTTCTCCCGTATCGTGTAAAGGCATTGATTGGTCGGATAATGCCAACACTTGACGCAACCATTCGCATCTGCAACGATCGAACAACGCCTGGATAAATAATAAATTAAAAGAAGGAAACGAATGAAAATTCGGAAGAATTTTTCGGAAGAAACGAAGCTCCATCCGTTGTTTCTTCTCCGTTTTATTATCTATATCAGAGAAAATATTAGAAATTGTGGTGTAGCACTGACAAGTGGCAATGACGGTACGCGAGATTGGATAAGATTTGCGGACAGGCCTGTGTTTAACCGCCGTCACCGGACTTTGCTTCTGCATTATCTCGGTATCGCGCAACACGAACTTTTCCTCGCTCGTGTTCTGATTCTTTTCGCCGTTCTGATGCAATTTGTACAATTGCACCGCGCCATCCATCATGCCTGCCGCCAAAAAGTCATGCGTCTCCGTGTAACATAAGCAAAGAATATCTTGATTGCATTCTCTGAAAAAAAATCATATTTTTTTTTTTTTTCAACAAATCAGAGAGATCAATTTTAAATTAAGAGAAATAAAAGTTTTTCCAACATCTGAAGTATATAATCTCTAATTTATTTCGTTGTAGAAAGTTACGAAATCTTGTTATTGGTTTTTTTTTTTTTTATACGAAAAACTTAATCATGTACATACAAATGTAATAAATTAATTGATCTTCGATGATGCACTTTGTAAATAAAACAAATGAATTTTTATAAGGTGAAATTCGATATTTAATGTTCGATAATTTTTTTTTTTTTTTTTTTTCTAAATCGAAAATAGTTTCGAATAACTTGCTCTATTATTCTTTATCTTTGTTCCATACATTTGCCTAAGGAGAGTTATATTATCATCCATATAAATTTTCGTTTCTGGATCCATCGCTTTTGTCAAGGCTGACTCAACTCCATCGACACTGTTAGTAACATTATAGTTAAAAAATCATGTGTGTGTGTATATATATATACAAATAATGATAGGAAGTGAAATGGAATAACAAAATGTTTGTAAAAATAACTTTTATACGATAATGTACAAAGTGTCGTCTGTGTGTCGTTACGAATGGTATTATACCGTTGAGATTAAAAAAAAAACGTACTATTCTAGATAGAATTTGGTTCTCGTTGAAACTTGGGAATTTGTTTTCGATGTTTTGTGTCCAATGGTAAGATATCATGCTATTTCATCAATTTATTAATTTTATCACTTCATTTCATTTTACCACTTAACGAATTCGAGGCTATAAAATTCCCCATAAATTTCGTTGAAATGACGATCAATTTTAGAAAACTTCATGTATGTTTGATGGGACACGTTAAGCTTTCGAACCTTTAAATTTCGTTATATCAGTTTCAAAAAGTTGCGTTAACTTAGAAATTTTCGAATATTTATGTTTTACACATTTAAATAAAAAATAAATTAAAACTAATGTTTTAATAATGTATTCAAAGTTGTCTTATATATAATGCCATAAAGAATACAATGGTATGGTTTAAAATATTAATTAATTTTTTATACTTTTGCGTAACAGATTAAAAATTTTCCAATTATTCTATAATTCTGAATGCGTGTGCTCCATAGATTTTAATGTAAAATGTTTGAAAAAATATTTTGTACGTTAAAAAATATAAAAATTTCCAGTATAAAATCACACGTAATTATTTCAAATGACAGGTCAAATAAATAACAATCAGTCATTTGTCTTATTACTTTATATGTAATTATACAGGTAAAATACAAAATGAACCTATCGTCCAATATATTTTCACGCCACCTAGTCCAGAATTATAAAAATAGCAAACATCGACTAGATAAAAGACATGATTAATCGGATACCGGAACCGTTTCTTGCGCACGTAAATTGTATAGCTCAAATATAGAAGAAGAAAAGTGGAAATAAGGGAGAAAAGGATAGATATATTGTAAAAGCTATGGAATCAGCGCCATCTTCAGAGTGTTGCAAATTAAACAGGAAAAGAAAAGACAAAAAATAATAAAAAAGGATAGAGATAGAGTAAGAAATGATCGTCAATGCCATCTCTCGAATATCAAAGACAATTTTTTAAAGAATCATTTTTCTAAAAATATTCGAGAGATGGCGCTAGTCCTCGATTCTTATTCTATCGCTACCTTTGAAGAGATCCATGATCCTCAAGAGATAGTATTAATGTCATATATATCTTTATATTTAATCGCGATAATAAAACTGCGCGACAATGTTTGTATTAAAAATTACACGGAAGTTTAATTTTATTTACTACATGCAATTTTTAATTATTTATTTTTTATTATAATATCATCGTGATGGTATAATACAAATTCATCGGTATAGATGGCGATATATTCAAGTTTTTTTTATCGATAAAATATATTTTAAATTCTTATTATATTATTATAGTTTCATAAAATATACAAGCGTTAAATTTTTCATATATTTTATATTTGCTCAACAATTAAAATCGTTTATTCATAAGAAATAACTTTTTCTTCTTGTCACGCGAATATATATCGTGTCCGATTATTTGTGAAATATTTAATCCATCAAATGAATTAATCTCAGACAAACGCGAGAAATACTGTTACTAAAAAGAGAAAATAAGGAAACTGTTAGAAACTAAAAACTAAAACTCGTTCAATATTGGCACGATAGACGTCGCTAGGAATGTGAAAAAGACGTTGAACGAGCAACAAACAGAGGGATCCGCCAATCAGCGCACAAGTGCGCGCGGGCTCGAGGCTTTCGAGCTCGGTAGCTGTCAGTCGGTAAGGAGTAGATTCTCCGTATAAGTTTATGCGTATTAGTTGTGAATGATCGCGTGCAAATTCGCGTTAGCTTGCACGTTTTTCGTTCGTTCTCGTCGGTTAAAATATTCGCGACAAATATGTTGAAGATCGATGTTATGTCGCCCGCGTGAACGGTAAACAGTTGCGCGGGTGAGTGTGTTGTGTTCCGAGGGAGTGTCGTTAACCTCGCGTTGAGCTCGAAGAGTCGAGGTTCCCTCGCTGGAAATCGCGCGCAGATCCTGAACGAAGCTGTCAATCTCGTGAACATCGGTGCACGACGGTCGTTCGATCAGAATGTCGGCGTCGGCCGCATCGTTCCCGGCGTCGCGACAGTGAGAACAACACATCCGGCCAGTGAACCAAGTGTCGACGAGGAAACAGCTCCAGGGTGAGCCGTTTTTCACGTTCAGAAATTTAGAGACCACCGAGGAAAATGGCGGACCTCGAGGCGGTATTGGCCGACGTCAGCTACTTGATGGCTATGGAGAAGAGCAAAAGCACACCGGCCGCTCGTGCAAGCAAGAAAATCATTTTGCCCGATCCCAGGTATATGTCGTGATATTTGTCGATCCGTCGAGCTTTTTGCCAATCCATCCACCCCAGTCTCGCCTGTAGCGATGGGAATGACGTACTCGTGAACAATGCTAACATTGCAAAATATATTCATTTGTCGTTTGATATTTACGAATCTACGTAAGTTTAGAGTAGATTTAGATATTCGAACATTTTTATGGAAACGATTCTCTTTCGTAAGTTGATATTTCATCGTAATCGTATCGATCTTTTTATAGGTTACAATACGATACTAGATGCAAGGCCGCTTAAATGGTTGCATCTTGAAGGACATGCAATATGCATAACACGAATAATTTTTAAAATATTAGTTTTGAACGCAGAGAAATATATATACATATATATATAATTATATCTATAAATAGAATATATCTATATAAATTTTAAATATAATTTTTTTTATAATTTAATCATTGGGATAACGTAGTTAAAATATCAATTCGTAATTCGTTATTCGTTAAATCATTAATATTTCTATTTATCATTTAAAAATTAAAATTAATAGTATATACATATATTTATGACAGATGAATAACTTTTAAATTAAATTCGTAATCTATTTCTATAATAAAGATTCACGATTATTAAGAATAATAAATTGATTGTACATTTGAAAATAATAATCAAATTAATCCCATCGCTACATCTCACCACGTTTCCTGCCCCTCCCTTCTTCTTTGAGCTGTTCCTTGTCTAACTCGAGTCCGGTGTCTCGATTCCTCCTTGTTTCTCCGCGCATACGTACCGATGTTTCGGTTTCTTGGCTATGCTCGTTTCAGCGCGCCATTCCAGAAAAATGTTTACAAACAATGAACGGTATCGGTTACAAGTAACGGAAGTAACAATTAAGGCCAGTCGAACAATTTTATTTTCAAGATGGAAAATCTCATTAGTGAAGGTATCGTAGTAACTACTTATTTCGAATTTTCACTTAAATATTTATTTCTCTCTGTAAAACTGGATTAATAAGTTTTTTTTTTTAATAAAATGAATTTTCATGGTAATAAAAATTGTTCATTTATTTATCTGTTATATGGATGAGATATAATATTTCGTTTAACATGTAAAATATAAAAGCGTTTTTCTTATATACAATGGAAGAGAAACGATTAATAAACAAAAAGAATTAAATAATATAATCTAATTACAAATATAAAAAATATTGACAAAAGAAAATAAATAAAATTGCAATCTTATGGAGATTTCATTTATTGTATATGTGTGTACATATACATATTATATATATAAGAATTGTGAAAGATATTTGAATTTTTGAAATTCATCTATCATTTATGAATCAATTGTAAAAATTATATTTTTCTATCGAATCGCTCGAAAAACAATTTTATCAGAATTTCGTTTTCTAAAAAATCTAAATGATATAAAATTAAAAGAATTATACGCGTGTTAAATATATATTATGTATTTCACATTCGACATTCTCAGAATTAATATAAAGATTTTTTTTTTAACGCTACTTTTTATAGGTGGCGTTTATTCATAACTAGTAATCATAAAAATGCTTTCTTAATATCAAAATGATAACTCCTTATAGAAGTTATTTGGAATCATCACGAATGAATTTTTTTTAAAATTTATGAGAGTTTTCATGCAATTATCTACGATTATGGTAAAAATATTAAAATCGGTAATTTTGTACATAAAATTATTAATATATTAAAAAGAAAGAAGAAAAAAAGATTAAATAATTAATAATTATATGATTCCGTAAAGAATCTCGTAAATTTTTACCTTTTTATTTTTTTCGGATACTTTCAAATGCTTTCATAAGGAATTATCACTTTCGTGGATAGCAATTTTTCTTTGACCATCAGAACAGCCAATAATACTTATAAAATTTAAGCATTTAATAAAACATGTAAACAAAATTTGTCATATTATATTCAAGAATATCTGAATATAAAGCAAAAATTTTTTTATATCGTTTAATTTATTTTAAATAAAATATGAAAAATAAATTATTTTTGAAGTGAAATATAATGAAAGATTATCCTTAATTAATAAAGATCAATTGTACAGAATTGTTATAAGAAAATGTTAATAAGTTATAAAATTTAATCTCGTAATTTCTAAATATTAATTCGTAATTATATCTTTAATATATCTAAATTTATTTCGCGTATTTTGATATATTTTTTCTGCATATCTTCATCGTATTATATTTTTATACTTAATATATTACATTCATATAAATATTCGGTTTAACAATCATTTATTATGAGAAAAATATATATTGTCCAATACCGATTTAATGTCGTCAAATATAAGTTGAAAAGATAACCATTGATGACAAAGATGAATGGAAAGATTTCATCATTTCAGATATAGAAGAAATAATTAATATGTAATTTTTAATTTTTTTTTCTTCCTTCTTTTATTTCAAATTTATATTATATCGTGTATGTATATACTAGATACATACATAAGAATTCCTTATTTGCGTCATAATGCAACCTATTACGTTTATTTGTTCTAAATATAGCATATTGCATAGTACATATATGAATTCAAACAGATAAGAAAATTATACTTCATTTTTAATACTTCTAATATCAACTTATATTTCGATGTTTATATCTTATTTTTTATTGAAATTAATTATAGAATCAAATATAGAAAATGATATAGAAATATTGTAAAATTTTTGTCATGGATGATTAGTTAAAAAATTAATTATCGTGTCCAAAATATTTTTGATTTTTTTTTTATTTATAAAAAAAATATAATAAAATTTATTTCTAACTTGCCAGAATTTCGATATATTGAATAAAAATGATCGTTGATGATATCTTCGTGATTTGTATTAACAATTCTCTTTTTGCAATATTTCATCGGGATATTTTTATCAAACTTACAGAGAATTGTACAACAATGAAAATAAAATTTCAATTAATATTTTCCAACATTTTGTTTACTAACATTGTGCCATTGGATGATTGACAACGCGTTTTTCAAGTATTTGTAATTAATGTATGTATAATATAACGTAATCAATCATTTTTATTAGTCTATGATTATGAGTGATGTAACAAAAGAATAAGAAAAAATTACAGAATATATCATGGATTCGTAAACATATGTAATATTCATTTAATTTTCCAATTAGAATGTAAGAGATTATGTAACGTGTTTGTATTATAAAATAATTAATGATACACTATGCTCGAAATATTATATAATATATACAAAACATTAAATTTTACCCTATTTTTCTTATATTTTTTTTTCCATCGCTGATCAAATATTATTTGCTAAATTGTTAGCATTATGAACACAAATTACATAAATTATTCGCAATATGAACCGTACATTAGGTGTATATCTATTCTGTAATTCATCCGTATGATCTTCAAATTCCTGTGACAAAAAAAAAGCATCGCATTAAAAGTTTATTCTACATATATACATATATTCTGTATATATTCGTCTATAGTATATTATGTTATATTACGCCATTGCCACTATCACAAAGATTGCAACGATAATAACAATTGAAATCTAAACTAAGATTTCATTATCATTATTAATAATAAGATATAGAAAACATCTTGAAATTTCATTTTTAAATTTATAAAAAAAATCATTCGTTCTCGAACAATTGAATAATTTTTTTTTTTTTTTAATTTATTATTTTTCACAAAATTATCTACGTACTATTTCTCGATATTTTTTCGAGTCTCGACCTGTTTTCACAACAGTCCAATCACGATAATAAGTGCGACCATAAGTGTGACTCTCTTCGCTCTACTATATTATTTTTAGGAAATGAATCCATATATATATATATATATATATTAAAACCATGCCATACGAAAGAATTAAAATAACGTGAGATATTCGACACGTGTGAAGTACGAATATAACGAATCATTTGTGGTTAGACCTGAAGTTATCTTTTATTTGCGAAAAGTCGTTATTACAGTTTTTATAACACGGTCAAGCGTCCACAGTTGATTTCATACTTGGAGAATAAATTTCTAAGAAATTTCAAATATATATCTTTCTTTTTATGCTTAACGCATTTGGGATATAAAAGCGATCCTAAAAGCAATGAAAATTATTAAATTTATCTGTTGCTGTGTATATGAGAAATAACACAAGCCTTTCCTTATTTCTTGCAATTCTGCAAAAAGAATTTATAATGGGAATGGAAATAAATAAAGAATAATGGAAATTTCTTGGTCTTCGTCGAGATGTGTTTGGTGACGAATAAATTGGTTTTTATCTTATTCCATTATCCACGTGTTAGTCGTTTCGAAAGCTCTGAGTTTCTGAAATCTATCGTATTCGATGTCGAAACGAATGAAAATTAGCGATAAAAGTAAAGACGGCCAGTTAATCAGTGAAGTATCTCGTATATTCGAACGAATATTCGATCTTTTTGCAATCGAATATATAACAAGTATAGATCTACGAATAATATATATCGCGTTCAAACGAAAAACTATTATCATATGTAATAACTATTCATTGATTAGAAAAAGAAAAAAAATGAAGATTTCAAATTATATTGTATATTTATAACAGATTGAATGTAAACTTCAATATCTATTTAATTTTAAGATAAAATATCGTCGGTGATTTCTATCCCTGTTTACAAAAAATATCACGCCTCTCGAAATTATCGGTACAAGCTCGGTTTGTTGATAGCGTAATTTATCGCGGAGCAAGATTTACGTTATTAGCGGATAAAGTTATAATTTCGAACGGAAAAGAATTTTCTTTCTGTGTGCGATGAGATGTCGAGAAGCCCTTTTATCGCGTCGAGTCACTGGCGCGATGCAAAATTGCTTAAAGATCTAGTTAAAAAAGTAGCTTTGCCCAGTCAAACGTTTATCAGACGTTAGGCAAGCGATATACATAATAAATATGGATATTAAGAAATTAGAAAATATTATAAAACATTAGCGAGTGGAACGAAATCGATAAATCAACCTATTTGCAGAAATTGT